CAACGCGAGAAGATCAGAATTCGTTAAGGCTATGTCAATTATGCTTGTAAGATACTTGTTATAAAAATCAAGGCGGATTCATAAACCACAAGTATACAAGTATAGGAGTACGTTATCTTATAGAGGGAGCAAAAGAGACAGAGCCAACAGAAGGGACAGCAAGGATACAGGGAACAGAGGAAACATAGAGATCTAAAAGGCAGAGGCAACAGAAGCAACACAGGTACTAAAGTGAACAGAAACCACAAAGGGAACTGTAACAACAGAATAAACAGAACAAGAAGAACAGAGAGAACAGAGAAAACAGATATAACCAAGGCAAAAAAGGGAACTGAAGGAATAGAATGAACAGAGCAGGCAGAACAGAAGGGAAATGGGAACAAAAGGAGCAGAATAAACAGAATTAATAGAAGGGACAGAAGAAACAAGAGGAACAGAGCAAAGAAAACTGAGCAGAGGGAACAAAGGACACAACGGAAGTGACAGTAAAGATAGAGGAACAGAGGAAACAGAGAAATCTAACAGATGCAACAAAACCAACATAGGCGGCAAAGGAACAAAGGCAACAAAGGGAACTATATCAACAGAATAAAGAGAACAAGTAGAATAGAGAGAACAGAGAAAACAAAATCAACCGAAGCTACAAAGGGAACTTAAGAATCAGAATGAATAGAACAAGAAGAACGAAGGGGATACAGAACACAGTTAAGAAGGGACAGAGAGAACATAACTAAAGAGAAACAGAGAGAACAAAAGGGTAGAGGGAATAGAAGGAGTAGAACAAAGAGAATGAGCAGAAGCAGAAGGAGCAGTGACAACAAAGGGAGCTGCAGCAATAGAATAGATAGAACAAGGAGAACAGGGGAAGCAGAGGAAACAAAAGTGTAACGGGACAAAAGGAACATAATTAACAATTTTAACACACAAAGTACAGAAAGAAAAAACGGAGGAACAGAACAGAAAGAACTAAATGCTAGAGGGAACAGAAGAAAAAAGAAACCGAGAAACCCGAAGATGGGCAAGAATGCAAATGAAGAAAAATATAGAAAAAAAACATTAAAAAATAAACAGAACTATTAAAAATAACAACAAAGAATCTACGTAGTACAGAAAACATAAAAAATGCTAGAGAAATACAAAAATAACGAGAAAATATATGAAGATATAAAATAAATAAAAAATAAACAGAAGTTACAAGAATGCCAAAAGCAGAACAACAAAATGACGAAAATAGCATAATCAATAGAAACAGCTGAAATGACAGAAGTGACATCAACACCAGAAACTACAAAAGTGACAAATTGACACAACAAAGAAAAATAATAAGCTTAATGAAAGTCACACAAATGCTCAAATTAAAAAACATAAGGAAGTAACGTTAATGATGATAGAATTAACAAAAAGAAAATCAAAGAAATGACAAAAATGAAAGAAATGACCTAAATGATGAAAACAAAAGGAAGGAACGGCGGAAATAACAGATATAAGGGTCAATTCTGAATCAAACATGTTAAAATTTAAAGGTTGTTAAAAAATAAACAGCCAATCAAATTTACGAATTTTACTCGTTAGTATGGAAATTTGCAATTTGATACCCTTTAAATTTAACAGGTTTAATTTAGAATTGCCAACGACAAAAATGTGGACAACGCTGAAAATGGGACAAGTGACTGAACAGAGGGAACATAAGTAACAAAACGAACACAAGAAGCAGATAAAACAAAAGGAACAAAAGAAGCACAATAGAGAGAATAGACGGAACAGCAGGGACGAAGAGAACAGGAACAATAGGGAGAACAAAATGAACAGAACAGGAACAACAGAAAACAGAGACAACAGAGATATGAAGGGAGCAGAAGTAACAGAACGGAGGGAAAATAGAAAACAAAAGACAGAAAGGAAAACTATAAAATTAACAAAATGAAACAAATGGTCAAAATGACAAAAACGTAAATAGAAGTTACTGCACAAAAAATTGAGTTTACATCATTTAATTATTGTTAGAGATGACTTAGACAAATTTTGGTTAGCATTTTACCATCTACATGATATTCCTAACAAACATACAGCCTGTTATTGAAAGGTCCGTGCAAAATAAAATCGGCAATTGGTCTCGAAGTATAGGTGTTAAAAGTTAAAAAAAGTTCAGGTAAAAGTGTTCTCCTTTTAGAGAAAAAAATTATTAAAATTTATGTCCAAATTCGTTGTACGCCTCTGATAAAAAGATCATCTTTCGTTTCTGTAGCAACATTTAGTCTTGACAAAAGTTTTATTGTTACCGTTGCGGGGATTTACTAAAATAAAATAATTTTACCTATTTATCCTTCAGTAGCGTCTAAAAAGGTTGGATAAGGGTTAATTTTCCCGTTATAATTTTGATAACACAAAATAAGTTTTTCCGACTTCTTAGACTTCGTGAAGAACTGTATATTTTGTTGTACGTACCTTTCAATAACACCCTGTATAAAATTTAACAACAATTGTCCAGTAGTTTCGGAGATTATCTGTCTAATAAAAATCCACACAGACAGACGACAGAAAACATGAAATTAAATTATATTCTATTTCCGAAAAAAGCGTTTATTTTAAGAGTTCTCACAGGCATAGTTTTCGTTTTAGTGATTTTGTGCTAAAATAAAATGAAGTGGAAGAAAAGACTTCTAAAAAATGTTTATGACGACTGAAAAGAATGGAACCGGTTATTACACATTAAAAAAAAACTTCTTTGTAGAAAGTAAGTTCTGTAAATAAATATGTAAACACAAGAAATCAAAATTTGTCGGTATTTATAGTTTCAAAAAAATTATTATTTTTTGGAGGACTTCGTCTTTGCCTTTTACAGGAAATCTGGTGTCAACTGTGACTAATCTGTCAAAATTACTTCAAAACGACTCTATAGAGAAAACAAAGTTCTTAATAAGAATTTACAAAGTTTTCAAAACTCAGATATGTAAAGAAACATAATTCTAACCATCAATAAGCTAATTGTAAATTAGCCATTAGAAAATTGGTCTAAGGTTATCTAGACCCTTAAATATGTAGAAGAATCGAACAAATCCACTTTTTTCGAAAAATTATAAAATTTGATTTTGCAAAATTCTATTAATTTTATGAGGACCCCTGTAAGTAAAAAGTCTAGTTAATTCAGGTCACAGTGAATAAAAAACATTCGGTAAGGATGGGATTCGAACCCAAACGGAGCAGAGTAGCCTGAGAATCAATTATTAATCCCACTCGACTGCGAAGCATTTGATGCATAATTGCATTAAAAAAATGCAAAGTAATTGTGATAACAATCAAGGCGGATTCATAAACCATGAATATATTATTTCATAAAATTTAGATAACCTTAACTAGGCAAAACTGTTGTCTAAATGATATTCCTAACATATAAAATTTGACAACAATCGGTCCGGTAGTGTCCTCAAAAATGTGTACAATCAAATTTTACAGTCTAGAAAATATTACTACGAAATTTTAGTACCACTCTAATATTGCTTCTGAGGAATTAGAACACTAACTAAACTAATAAACTCTGGAAACTTCAAAACATCAACAATCAACATGAAAAATGTATTCCACTATAACAACTCTTGGAATAAAAGCACCGCCTCGAATGAAGGTAATAGTTATAATAATGAACAAATTTAAAACCAGGTATTTTAATATTAAAATTAAACCAGGCATTAGAAGAAAGTATTTGCGTTAATATAATTTAAAATAGCTAGTGGATGCAAGAAAGGCGTATTACATTCGTGTCGTAAAAAATAATACAAAAAAAAAGGTGTAGCGAAATATAGGGGAGCGAGGAATTGCTTAAGCAAAAAAACACAAGTAAATGGAAATGTTGGACGCTGGTGTTTGAGTAGAGGAAGATAATGAATTGGGAGGTTATACATCAAAGAACTAAACGCTCACAATGAAAACATCACCGTCGTTACACTGAAAAAGGTTGAAAATAGTGCAAAAGGTGCGAGAAACGAGAAAGCGAACCAAAATACGTTACGAAAGTACTATTCGCCACTTTTTTTTCATTAAACTGTGGAAAGCAGGTGCGGTCATAAATTCATCAGCTCATCATACATAGAAAAAATCGATAAATTATTTTACAGCGGATCAACACGTAGTTAAACTGCTTTACAACTATTCATTAAAAAGGATATAAAATCAGTCATATTGTTTGTTATTACTGTAATTTATATTTAATATTTGCACTTAGAAGCCAATTAAGCCAAACGCCGTTATCAATTACATTTTATTCATTTATGGATTCCATTCCACAATACATAAATTTGTAACGAGCTGCCCGTGGAATGATTAGCATTCACGTCTCAACAATTTCAACGTGTTAGTAACTTATGTAATATAAAAGAGACGACAATGTCATAAACTGTGTTCGTAATTTACAATTGTGTTGTAAAGATAATCTGAGTGACATACACGACGCATGCTATTACTACCTACTCACATTTGCATGATTTGAAAGCTGAAAGTTTCGGAAAGAGATTCCGGCAGTAAATGACTTACGGCGTTCTATAAGTTGGTCTTCCAACTGTTGCAGTTTTAATGTTTGCATGAACAAAAAAGGTAACGTGTATTAGGTCTCGTTCCATTGTAACACTCCTGAAATAAATAATTTTAATTTTCTATCTGTTCTCAGAATTTTAGTATGAGGAAAGCGATTTTTTTTCAGCGTCGATCATTTCCTCATTCCAGTATCCGCTCTGAAATTTGTAAAATTTACGGCCTTATTATTCAAATTGCACTATAAATACCTCTTCACATTTCAGTTGACCTTTTCTCAACGTACTTAAGCCAACAACCAGTAATTTTATTGTGATAGGTGCTGTCTAGACAACCTTAAATATCAATCATTTAATAATACTCACGCTGGTTTCTATTGTTGAATTGAGCCAGAAGTGAAGTCCGCTAAGAATAACATCACAAACCCAAATAATCAGTGCCAATTTAAATTAATGAGTTGCTTTATTTAATTACAGAAAAAAGAACGACATTCGAAATGACGTCGACAAGGAGCCAAAAGACTTAACCAACAGAACGATGTTTCCTACGGCTCAGATTAAAATGAGGTAAGGATAGTATTAAAGGTGGTGTATAACACAGATCTCAAACTCGGCTCGGCTGAAATTATCATTGTCTGCTTAATTCCTTCCAGGAAAAAGTAGACCGTTGTGTAATAAAGATTTTAGAGATCACCTGAAAAGGATATGTGGCTCCGGCGGTCTTATTAACATATTTTTAACAAGATCTGTAAATAAGAAAACTTCTAGGAAACGCTGGCATTGTGATGGTGTCCTCACCAACAGGTCTTTGTTGGAGGATGTGCCAACACACTGCCTTCCGCCTTATAGAGTTGTCCGAGAATACTATTCAAATTTATGGTTTCTATATAGACAGGCTAATGTTCCGAAGAGAGATGATAGGCTTTGGAACATATAATTATTTTATGTTATTACCACGCAGTAAAGCACTGCACATTATGTTAAATGTTCACACCTGCCCCGCCTCTAGAGGATCATTGTTTTAGACGCAAGTCTAACAGATGGTAGGGGAACAGCCTGCCTTTACGAACCGTCAGACATTAATTATTATGACATGTTTCGGTACGAGATTTCCCATATTTATAATGCACTTACACAAGGTGAGGTCCAGGATTGTTGAGAACATCTGTGCCTAAAATTACTACGTCTACGGTAGAAAGAAACGTCATAGAAAATAGGTCTTCTGCATGAAAGCTTTTTTGAGCTTTCCGTTATCTATCATTAGAAAATAAAAAATTATGTAGTTAGTGCATTGGTTTCTGCACAGCAACGAAACATATGTTACTAATATGAACTTATAAAACTCTAAATCAAATCATTTAAAGAAAATTGGATTACATATCTCAAAATACTAAAAGCTCCAAGCTTGAACCGCAGTGAATTTATTCTCTCAATGTAATGTACCTAAATGGATTTTCCTTAATGTGGACTTTATTTTAAATTATTCTCTAGGAAAGTTGGAAAAATTCACGATTGCAATCAAATTTTACAGTACTTTAAAGTTATTATTCAGTGCATTAACAAGATCTATGTTGATTTTTCTTTACATTTACCTAAAGTATTGCATAAATTAAATTTGACGACTTTGGAAATATATCTCATAATTTTAACTGTTGATCATGGTAAACTATACTTTGAGTTTCACATTAAAATAGAAAAATAACTAAGTTAGGACAGCTTGAAGTGGTGGAATGTTGGTGATTTTAAATCTTTCAATTTTTTTTTACAAAAATGTTAATTTATCTATCCCTTTTAATAAATGATAAATTATATAATTGAAATTTTAAGCCTTGTTTGTACTATGAGTTGCTGCTCCTAAATTTTATAATATTTGGCTTTTTTTACGGAATATATACCTATAGTTTTCTTTGAACACGATTACTTAACAACATGTTTCAAATGATAATTTCTTGTAAAAAAATAAGATTTTGCGATTAAGAAAATTCCAACCATTTCTCCAGAATCGCTAAAATAAATTATATATGCTATTATAAATAAAATTGGGTTTTGAAATTGAATATTTCGAAAAGCTTAATCTAGATCATTCACAGGATGTGTTTTCGAATCAGGTCGTCGAAATATAAGATTTTTGTGTGGATTTTTGATTTTTAAGGAGATTTTTCTTTTGAGAAAATGTCAACCATTTTTCAGAATCGCCAAAGAGCATATGGTCATTTTTAGATTTTAAAAATTTTACTCAAAAACCGAATATATTGCGAAAACCTTTGTCATCAAACTGTGTTTTTTGAATCAGCTCGTCGAAATCTATATCCTAGATATTTTGAGGATTTTTAGTCAACTTTGGTAAAATCTAAATTTTTCCCTTATGAATTTGTTTATCTTTGTCCCAACAGCACTTTCGAAAATTATATAAAGAAATATTTGAATTGATCGATTTGCAGACGTTATTTTTGGCTTGATTTCTTTGAAAATTTCAACAACTTTTCCAAAATTCCCGAAATGAAATATGGTCATTTTTGAGATGTTTTAAAAATTGGATTTTAAAACCGAATATTTCGAAAATCTTGGTGTGAGGCCATCAACAGGCTGTATTTTTTGAATTAGCTCGTCGAAATTTATATTCCAATTTTTGTGGATTTTTAGACAACTTAGGTAAAAGCTCAGTTTTTCCCTAATAAAAATTTTTGCATTTGTTGGAGCAGCACTGTCGGAAATGATTTAAAGAGATTTCTCTGTTGGATTTCGATTTGCAGAAGTTATTTTCGGTTTCATTGCTTCGAAAATTCCAACCTTTTTCCAAGAATTGTCAAAAAATAATCTGGACATTTTTGGGATATAAATTAAAATAAAAATATAATTTGATGTTGAATATTTCTAAAATCTTGATCGCAAAAAATATTATCCCTTCTAAGAAATTTTAAAAATTTCATTCTGAAACCAAATATGTCGAAAATTTTGATTTGGGGCCATCAACAGGTTATGTTTTTCGAATGTTCTCGTCGAAATCTGTATCGTAGAACTTTTTTATGGATTTTTAGGCAACTTCAGTAAAAGACCATTTGTTCTCTTATGAAATTTCAAAAAAATTACCTAAACAATTTTTTCTGTCGAGAAAATTCCAACCACTTATCTAGAATCTCCAAAAACAAAAAGGCCATTTTTAAGTAATTTAGAAAATTTTATTTTGAAATCGATTATTTCGAAGATCTTGGTCTCGAGCCATCAACATGTGGCCTTTTTTGAATCAGCTAGTCAAAATCTATAACTCAGATTTTTTCTGTATTTTTAGGCAACTTTCGAAAATTATTTAAAAAGATTTCGCTGTTGATTTAGATTTACAGAAGTTACTTTCGGATTTATTTCTTCCAACCTTTTTCCAAAATTGTCAAAAAGTAATAGAACTATTTTTAGAATATTTCAGAAATCTGATTTTGAAACTAAATACTCCTATTTCGAAAATTTTGGTCTGAGGCCATCAACAGTGTACGCTTTTGCCAAAGTTGCGTAAAAATCTCTTTATTTTTATCTGAGTAGCACTTATCTAAAGAGATTGATTTTGCTGTTGAGAAAATTACACAATACAATTTTTTAGAATCGCCAAAAATATATGGTCATTTTTAAGAAATTTTAAAAATTTCTGAAACCGAATATTTCGAAAAAATTTATTTGGGGTCCTCAACAGGCTGTGGTTTTCGATAATCTCGTCGAAATTTCTTTCCTAGATTTTGTTATGGATTTTTAGGCAACTTTGGCAAACAGTCATTTTTTCCCTTATGAAATTTTTTACTTCTGTCCGAACAGCACATTGGAAAATTGCCTAAAGAATTTTTTCTGTTGAGAAGATTCGAACAATTTTTCCAGAATCGCCAAAACTCAATATGCCTATTTTAAAAAAATTTTGAAAATCTGGTTTTGAAACCAATCATTTTGAAAATCTTGATTTTGAGCCATCAACAGGCTGTGTTTTTTAAATCAGCTCGTCGAAATCTGTCTCCCACATTTTTTGTGGATTTATAGCCAAGTGTGGTAAAAGCTCAATTTTTCATTGTAAAATTTTTAAAGCACCGTTTTTGAAAATGACCCAAAGATTTTTTTGTTGATTTAGACTTGCAGACGTTTTTTTCGACTTCATTTCTTCAAAAATTTCAGCCGGAATCACGATAATGAATCCTGGGATTTGTTGTGGATTTACAGACAATTTTGGCAAAGACTCAATTTGCCAGTAACCTCTTACGAAATTTTTTACTTTTGTCCCAGTAGCATTTTAAAAAATTATCTCAAAATATTTTTCTGTTGATTGTGATTTCCAGAAATTATTTTCGGCTTCATTTCTTTGAAAATTCCAACCATTTTCCCAGAATCCAAAATGAAAAACGGCTGTTTTAGGTATACCTATTTTAAAATTTGATTTTGAAACCGAATATTTCGAAAATCTTACTCTGGTGCCATAAACGGGCAATGCTTTTTCGAATCAACTCGTCGAAGTCTGTATTCTAGTATTTGTTGTGAATTTTCAAGTAGTTTTGACAAAAATTCAATTTTTCATTTTTTCCCTTACGAAATTTTTGAGTTTTGTCCGAACAGCATTTTGGAAAATTATCTAAACATATTTTTCTCTTGACTTAGATTCGCAAAAATTATTTCTTCGATTAGCAGATTCTCCAAAATAAATAATGGCCATTTTTGGGATATTTTAAAAATTATATAGTAAAATGGAATATTTTGAAAATCTTAGTCTTGGGCCATCAGCTGGTTCTTTTTTTTAGACCAATTTTTCCTTGTGAATTTTTTTATTTTTATCCGAGCAGCATTTTTCAAAATTACCTAAAGTAATTTTTATTGATTTACCTATATTTGCAGAAGTTTTTTTCGACTTCATTTCATTTTTCCAAAAACGCCAAAATGAAATATGGTCATTTTTGGGATATTTTAAATTTTGATTTTGTAACCGAATATTAGAAAAATCCTGGTCTAGAATCATCAACACGTTATGTTTTTCGAATGAACCCGTCGAAATTTATATTCTAGAATTTGTTTTGTGGACTTTTAGGTAATTTTGGCGAAAACTCAACTATTCAGTTTTTTCTCTTCCGAAATTTATGACTTTTATCCGAGCAGCATTTTCTAAAATTATCTAAAAATATTTTTCTGTTGCTTTAGTTTCGTAGAAGTTTTTTCGGGCTTGATTTCTTCGAAAATTCCAACCATCTTTCCAGAATCGCCAAAATGAAATATACTTAGCCGTTTTTGAGATATTTTAGTATTCTGACGCAACTCGTCGAAATTTTTATCCTAGAATTTTGACCTATTTCTGACCACTTTCGAAAATTACCAAAAGAAAATATTTTTATTTAGACTTAAGAATTTATTTTCGGTTTCATTTCTTGTAAAGACTCTTCCGAGATTTCTCAGGATAGTAACATAAAAAATTTCAAATTCCACTTTTAGTTTTTACATCATTTTTAATTTTTTGAGCAATCTGTAAGATAGAGTTTATTTAAGTTTTCAGAAATATCGGTACTGAAAACTGCATAATCAAATTCAGAACAAATTTTCAAAATTCGTCAAATACCTAATAACAGCCAGCTAAAGTTAAAGCATTTTTTTTTTCTACCGTAATTGTGATAAAATCAAGGCCGTTTCAAAAATCACACTTATTTTATAAAATTTAGATCGCATTACTGTATAAAATTTTAAGGTGACGTCATCAAATTGTCGATGGGAATTATTAGACAAATTTTGGTTAGTAGATATATTACCATCTACGGGGTATTCCAAAAATACTTACCTATAAAAATTGACAACAATTAGTCCGGTAGTTTCGGGAATTATCTATGTATTAAATGTGACAGAGACGTCCTTAGCTTAGGCTCGGGAAGTAAAAATAATTGTTTGGAGACGTGGACACCTAATAGATTCAGGAAATTTTTGTGCTTACTAAATAAAAAGTTCAGAGTTGCTCATAACATTAAATAAAGAAAAATAAAGGGACACAGTAGTGTGAACAAAATCGCGAATCGTGATTGATAACGTGGTAACACAAATAAAAAATCAAAAAGTAAACGGAAAGACGAAATAAATTAAACTTGGCTGTTAATTCGTCTAAATGTTTGACATTTTCACTTACCTACTTTTTTTTAATTGTGTATCCTTTTTATAGATTATTTAGTTGAAACAGAAAACATACATTGTTACAAACGAAATTTTAACCCGAGATTCCAGACTATGTCGTACTTCCATTAATAATTCAAGTGAATGCATTCCTCAGAGACGTCTTCCTCTAGCACACTAATAAAAACATACCGATTGCATCAAACTCTAAGCAATTTTCTGACGTCACTGCATTCTCTCCTGAATCGGACAAAAACTGATAACATCAGTTTGATTTTCGGTTATCTTTAAAACGCGAACTAATCATTCGTTGGCACGTAAATAGCGCAAGCAAAGCTCGACAGCGCTGTTTCCTCGCTTGATCTACCATTGAAATCTCCCTTTCCAGGCTGATGTCGCCCAGCAGTTCCCCCGCTACCTCCCCGACGATGTCGAACTCGTCGTCGCCGACGCCGCCGGCGGTCAATTACAACAAAATCACAGGAATCCCGTGCGTGGCCGCCGCCTCCAGGTACACAGCGCCGGTGCATATCGACGTTGGCGGCACCATCTACACCTCGTCGTTAGAAACTTTAACCAAGTAAGTAGGAGTCTAACGCGTTTTTTAAATGTATTTTTAATTTCGACAGGTCTTGTTAATTTGTAAAGGCCTGAAGATGGCTAGTTAATTAGGGAAACCGGTCGCAAAAATTAATAAAAGTGTTTGTTACACAAACAAAATGGTGTAAACGGTGGGATGAAATGGGTAAAACGTGAATTTTAGACCGTATGTGCGAAATGTTCGTCGTTATTAAATTTAAGCGAAAATTGTATTAGTCTTGTTGCATACTCGACATAATTTGACCAGAGTTGTTTAACCACAGGCCGGACTTTGTTTAGTGCATTTAAGTCCATACTGTGCTATAAATAACTGCAGCTAATTTCCAACTGGCAATTTGTTAATTTTTACGAAACGTTTCACATGTTCGGTCGGGGGTGGCGTGATAGCCAAAGGGTGCCTCCCCGGACATCGCACCATCTCCGGAATGCCCATAAATCTCCTTAAAGCATGGTCTAAAACTGTTAAAGGTTAAATCATATAGCATTAAAGTGTTTACAATATCGGCCATCTGAATCGAGCCCCCCATAAATCAGGCTGATACCGGCCGCCGAGCTCTAGCACATGCCGGCCAGATAAAAGAATAAAATATTGTGTACATATAGCTCATAGCAAATAACTAAATAATCCTACATTCAGCACTGTGAATATTGATGCTGATAAACGTGCAGGAAATATTGCCGCAAATGTTCGAGTAATGGGCTATAAATTACGGTGGGAAAATAATAAATTTCTGATGGGATGTGGCGGGAGCCTCATTAGAGCGGAAAAACTAATAAATTGATAACTAGCTAATAATGGTGGGTGTTCTTTTATCTCGTTAATTATGTCAGGGCGGCGGCCTTCGAGGTGTGAAATCGGGTAATTATCAGATTAATTATGTGGCCGAAAAGGTTGTGGGTAGATGCACAGATAACGATCGTTTTGGGGGTGTTACGAGTTGGCTTTAGCTGGATTTATAAAAAAGTGCGTTTTAACAATGTGAGATGTGACGATTTCGTAATCTGTGACTTTTCCATATGAAGATTTAACATTGACATTATTTTATTTCTGTGACCTAAGTGCCGTGATGTGTGTGATACGACGATGCCGCAGCCATTTTGTGCCATGTCAAGGTTAAATATAGTGTAGTTAAAAGTGTGTAATTATGGTCGTTCCACCGTTATCGTTAATGGACAACAAACTGACAAGTCTTAGTTTAGTTTTATGATATAATTTTAGGTGATTTTGTATCAAACAGAATTTGGAATTCTTTTGTTCTGAATCACGCGAATTATAAATTCTATTCTTTTATGTCTGTGCAATAATGCACCTGAACCTCGCATCGGAGAGATTAACCTTCAGGTGGCCAACTATACGCTACAAAAAAGGGTTAGGTTTTCCTTCACATTCACGGACACTCAGCGACGTTTATGCTACATACCTATTAGTCATAAAATGCAAAGATCAACGCATTACAAACACAGGTTTATGGACAAAAGTATTGAGAGCAATAATTAAAGTATATAGTGTCAATTCAGGCGTAATTACTTAAATTTTAACTTAACAGTTCCAGTCTCTGGTTATAACATACGCCAAAAAATAAACTTAAAATGAAAAAAACATTAAAAGTCTGAGAAAATTGTGAAAAAATTCGAAGAACTTTTTTACATCTACATTAGTAAAAGAAAACATGTTTGGGTTTTTTTAATTTGTGTTTGCAAAACGTATAATGAATGAATGAATAATAATAATAACATAAACAAATAAGTAAGTAAATGATGAACGCGGGTGTCGACATAGGCTCTGGAACCGTAATTATATATTTTTTTATTGAACAAACAAATTATGTTCCCAAATTTCAGATATTTTCGAGGTTTTTAAAACTAAATTGAAATTATAATGAAACAAATACAGACACATAGAAAAATTGGTACTCTGACGAACTGGTCGTAAATGTTTTTTTTTGGGTTTCCCAAAGCCAAAATAATTTCTTCTTCTGAAGAAATTTATGTGAGAAGGTTTCATCATACTTAAAATATTGAAAATAATTTTTCTTTTGAGTAAAAAATCTACATCAATTTTGATTCAATACAGTTATAAATTTTCATATTTTACGGTTATGAAATGATATTAGGAATTAAAAAAAAAACTGGTCTGTTATTAGACAGACCTTTCCTCTCCCCTGAAGTACAAAAGTTTGCGAAATTTTTCAGAACAAGTAATAATGAGCAATTTACCAATGACTGTTTAAGAAACTATAAATAAATATTGAATAACCGAAAAACTAAAAAATCAGAATATATAGATAAGTCCAGATATAAAATAATTTTAAATTTCGGAAAAATGAAACATTTAAAAATTTAAAAATCGAAAAAGAAAAATCGAAAAATCAAAAATTAAAAAAAATTGAAAAATGAAAAAATAAAAAAACTAAAAATGATATGGAAAAATTGAAAACATTAAAAATTGAAATGTTGAAAAATTGAAAATTTGGAAAATCCAGAAATTGAAAAATCGAAAAGCCGAAAAATTTTAAAAATCCAAAAACCGAGATGTTGAGGAATTAAAAATTCGAAAAATAGAAAAGTTTAAGTATGTATTAAAAACATTAAAATCGAGAAATCGAAACATCAGAAAGTCGTAACATCGAAAATGGATAAATTGAAAATGTAAAATTAAAAAAAAATCGAAAACTAAAAAAATTAAAAAAAATTAGGCATCGAGAACTCTAAAAATCTAAAATTTAAAAAATCGAAAAATTGAAGAATCCAAAAACTGAAAAATCGAAAAATTGAACAATCGAAAAATTGAAAAACCGAAAATCGAAATTGAAATTTTGAAACATTGAAAAATTGGAACATCAAAATATCGAGAAAAAGTCAAAAAATCGAAAAACTGAGAAATCGAAACAGCACAAAATCTAAAAACCAAAAAATGTAAAAACGAGAAGTCAAAAAATCAAAACATCAAAAAAGTGAAAAATGGAAAATTTAATAATTCGGAAAATCGAAGAATTTAAAAATTGAAAAAGAAAAATCGAAAAATGGAGGAACGGAAATTGAAAAAAAAATTAAATGTTGAAAAATTGAAAACTTGAAAAATCAAGCAATCAAAAAATCGAAGAATTTTAAAAATCGAGAAACCGAGATGTCAAATCAAAAATCTGAAAAATCGAAAAGTTGAGGTACAAATTAAAAAAAATCAAATCCGGAAATCGAAACATTAAAAGGGCGTAAAATCGAAAAATGGAAATATCGAAAAATAAAATTTATAAAACCGAAAAATAAAAAAAAAACTAGACATGGAGAAATTGAAAAATCTACAATTTAAAAAATCGAAAAATGGAAGAATCGAAAATCTGAATAATCGAGATATTAAAAAATTCCAATACTGAAAAACCGAAAAACTGGACAATTGAAAAATGCAAAAACCGATAAATCGAAATTGAACAGTTGAAACATCGAGAAATAGAAAACACCAAAATATCGAATATTGAGAAATGAAAAAATTGAAAAATCGAAAAACTGGGAAATCGAAAAATAGAAAAATTCAAAACTGAAAAATTTAAACTTAAAAAATCGAAAAATTGGAAAACCAAAAATGTAAAAAAAAAGAAGTTGAAAAATCGAAAGTTTCAAAAAATTAAAAAATGTAAAATTAAAGATTCATAATATTAAAAAATTGAGAAGTGAAAAAATCTGAAGTTTAAAAAATTGACAAATTAAACTATCGAAACATTGAAAAAACGAAAAACTGAATAATCGAGAATTCAAAACTCCAAAAAATCGAAATATGGAGAATTTTAATTTAAAAAAAATCGAAAAATTTTGAAAAATCGAAAAAGTAAAATATCAAAATATCGGAAAGTCCGTAAATCGAAAAATCGAAATATCGAAAACTCCCAAACTGAAACATCCGCAAATTTAGAAATCGAAAAATCGAGATTTTAGAAACAAGAGACAAGAGAAATTGAAAAATCGACAAACTGAAAGATCGAGATATTGATAAATCCCAAAACTGAAATATCAAAAAACTGAAAAACCAAAAAATTGAACAATCGAAAAATCAAAAAACCGATAAATCGAATTTGAGAAGTTGAAACATCAAAACATCGCCAAATGAAGAAGTCGGAAAATCGTGAAACTGACAAATCGAAACATTGAAAAACAGAAAAATGTAAAATTTAAAAAATCGAAAATTGAAAAACGGAATAATCGAGAACTCGAAATATCTGAAGAAAAAAACTTAAAAAATTACAATATCGAAAGATTGAAGAAACGAAATACTAAAAAATCAAAAATTCAGAACATCAAAAAGTCCAAAAAAAGAAAAATTCAAGCATCGAAATACTGAAAAGTACCAAAATTGAAAAATTTCAAAATTAACACATCCAAAATTTGAGAAATTGAAAAAATAAAAAATCGAAAAATCAGCAAATCGAAAAATAGAATAAATTAAAAATCAGTTAATCTTGAAATTGAGAAATCGAAAAGTCGACACTGTAGAAACGCCAAAAAATCGAGAAAAATGAAGAATCGACAAACTGAAAAATCGAAAACTGAAAAACCGAAAAATTGGACAATCGAAAAGTAGAAAAACCGAAAGATTTAAAATCGAAACATCAAAAACGTAAAATTTTTAAATTCATAGAATTGAAAAATTGGAAAATCGAAACATCGAGAAATCGAGACACTCAAAAGCTGAAACATGGAAAAATTTAAAATTTAAAAAATCGGAAATGAAATATCGAAATATTGAAAAATCCCAAAATTGAAAAATCTCAAAACTGAAACATGGAAAAATGAAAAATCGAAAAATTAGGAAGTCGAAATATCGAGAAGTAAAAAAATCGAGAAATCGAAAAATCGAGAATTTAGAAACGCCAAAAAATGGAGAGGAGTTGAGAATTGACAAACTGAAAAATCTCCAAACTAAACTAATGAAAAATTGAGTAATCGAAAAATTGAAAATCGAAAAGCCAAAAAACTGCTATCGTATTT